GCGCGCGTGAGGCGAGGGGGCGGGGCCAAGCCCTCCTGGCTCCCCGCACTGGGGCGTCCTCCAGCCAGAGTCTCTCCAAGCGCCGTCCTCCGTGGGGAAGAGGGGTGGCGGTGAGACCCGGAATGGACTGGCCCGCCTGGGCTCACTGGTGAAGCAGGAGAGCCCGGAAGCAGAGCCTTCCGGGACTTGTGATGGTTAAGGGCCCCCTTATGTAGCGCAGAAAGTGGGAGGAGGCTCTTCAACTTGGGAACGTTAAGGAAGGCGTTTTGGAGGCAGTGACACCTGAGCATTGTCTTTAAGGAGAGAGATGCGAAGAGCATTCTAGTGAGCCAATGAAACCTACTCCAAGAGCAAAGGCACAGAGGAGAGACACAGCTTGGGGTCTTCCGGGGCGTACAATTCATTCGTTATTCTGAAGCACAAGATGTGAGAGGAGGACCTTGTCAACCAACTAAAAGTTATCAGCCAGGGAGTGATAAAGGAAGAGAAGCAAAAGAGAAAAGAGGCAGCATAGTGCAGTGAGACTGAGTTACACTGAACTGACTGGGTTAAAAGCCTGGCTCCTGCCACCTACTAGTAGTGTGATCTTGGGCAAGTTACTTAAACTCTTTGTGACTCAGTTTTCTCACCTGTAAAATGAAATGAGTTACTATTTATAAAGCAATTAGTGTCTGGCACCTGGTGTCATATGTGTTAGTTATATAAGTAAAACATAAAGGGAAGAGCACAGGAAGAGTGTAGCTACGCACATGAGAGTAATGGAATGAAGGATCAACACAGCCAAATATAACTGAGTGGTCTTATAAAATGATGGGAAATGGTCATTGGGTTTCCCAGTAGGGCATGTAGGAGATGATACTATACACTCACAAATCCACTCCATTTATTCTTGGGCAGCCAGGTTACATGCCAGTCTACTCTGTAGTTAGATGAGTCCACGTGATTGTGTTCTGGCCAGTGAAATATGGGCAGAAATGATGTTCACCGCTTTCAGGGCTGGGTCCTAAAATCTGTGAAATCTTGACATTCTCTCTCCTCCCTTCTCTATTATCACAGTTACACACAATTAAGTAGTTGGTGGAGAATCCTGAATGCTGCCTGGGACAGAGCTCCCCCTTTCCCCGACAATGGACTGTGGTGCTAAGTCACTGAGTTTGGGGGTTATTTGTTACAGCAACTAAGATTATTTACCCTGACTATTACAGGGCAAAAGATGTGTTACAGTGTACTGTGCAGGTTAAGAGTAAAGGCTGGGAAGATGGACTGTTTTTCTGAGAAACTTGACCAAGAAGGGAAAAATAAAGAAGGGATTATTTAGAGGAAAATGCAGGATTGAGGGAGCATGTTTTTGTATTGGCTCTGGCTTCTGTGGTACTCTTGAGCAGACCATTCTTTAAGAACCCTGAGTAGCAAGGACTAGCCCTCATATCTGACCTCTGTCTCCCTGTTTCAGGCAGAATCCTCTTGGACCGTCTAGGCTCCCCTATCCGGTCTTTCAGAAAGCTTCTCCAGCACATGCTGTTTAAAAAAAAAAAAAAGGAGTGTCTTTTGTGCCTTAAGAGAGTCTGTGACACCCCACGAAGGAGAATAAGGGCTGCACTCATAGCCATCTTCCCTAGATACTATATTAGAGATCCCACCTCTGGATCTTGGAGAGAAAGGGCTAGGTAAGCCCCATCTCAGCCATTCTCCTCTTCCTCAGAAAAGTGACTTTGGGGAGACACAGAAGGAGGAGAGAGATTTGGAGATGTTCCTCTAGAGATATTTCTGAAGAGGATCAGGAGTTAGTTAGCATGATCCACGGAGTGGTACAGAAGCATCAGTGTTTGTAAAATGATTATAAATCAATAAAAAAATGCTTAAAAAAAAAAAGAAAGAAGCATCAGTGTTCTTGGGAAAACCGAGCTGCCTCCAAAATCCAGCCACTCAAAGGATGAAGACAGCTGAGAGAGTAGAAAATGTCGCTTGAAGAAAAACACACAACCTAAAAGTTTTGAGTTAAATTTTAACCTTATGGAGAACTATAGGTATAGCTGGTGCGAACGAAAATACTGCAACCATATCAGTAAACAAAGAATGCTGAAACCAAGTCATCAGCGGCTGCCGCCACCCCCCAGTAAAGACAAGCCTGCAGCCTGGCCTCTGCAGCCACTCACAATGGTGCACTCTGAGCAGACTCACAATAAGAAAGGACAGGATACTGGCCCTAGATAGCTAGGTGCTTATCAGAGGAATGAATTCAATGAGCCTGTGAGCTGGCCTTGAGATGAGTTAAGGCCATGGGACTCAAGGCCACAATCAGAGCATGTTTGTAGTATGCAGTAAATAATTGCTGTACTCATGCATCAATTATATAAGATTTAAAACAAAGAAAATAGAAGTACGCATGTGCTAGAGATAATTCTATAGGCCTAATAAACAAAGAAACTCACATTGTGCACATGCTGGCAGAGAACAGGTAAAAAGCAGGACAGGTGCATCATAGGCGCGCACCTCCCTGTGGCAATAAAGTGTTGTTAACCTCATGGTGTCTCCTGCTAAAGTCTGTCTGACGGTATGGCAACTCCTCGTGCATTTTTTTGTTTGGGCCACTCATCTCCTAAAACCCCACATCAGCCCGAATGTTTGCTTCCTCCGATACATAGAAAAGCACTAAATTTTTTAACTTGAGATGCCTGGTTTTCTTTAGATAACAAGCACTCTTTTATTGTTCCAACTACCTGGTCTTTGTAGGATATGAAGCTCTTATATATCCTAGCTCCTCCCCCACCTCTTCCGAGCAGTCTCTCGGAGCGATCTGAGGGGCTGTCATTCCGGCTCAAGTCCTCCCGCCAAATAAAACATAACTCTCAACTTTTAGGCTGCGCATTTATTTCAGTCGACACCGGGGAGACAGCCTCTCAGACAGCTCTGAGGAAATGCTTCAAAGAGATAAGGGAGGAGCCAAGATATATAGGAGAGTTTTTTTTTGCAGGAAAAAACCTATCTAGTAGAACATCAAAAAATTACTGCTAATGCCCCAAACAGACATCTCAAGTTAAGGATTTTCTGTGTTTGGGAAGATTTGAGAATCTGGGTCCATTGAAATTATTCCTTAGATATGCATCTTGACTATCTAGAGCCAGTGTCCAAAGTGCTTCCTGTCATTCTCCATTCTGAATTCCTCTCAGGGCGCACTTGGGGGTGGGGGCTGCTGTGGCTGATGCAGTGGCAATATTTGTTGTTTACTGGAGTGGCAGGTGACATTCTCTTTCCACAAAACGCTGATCTTCTATCCCCCTTGCCTCCCCATACCTTGAGCAGCCAGTGGGAAAGGTAAAACTGCTTTCTCAGCTTCCAGCTCCCTGCCCGCCCCCTCAGATTCCAGTCTGAGGCCCCTAGGGCAGAGGTAAGGTAAACGACCTATGACCCAGTTTTTACAACCGAGCTCCACAAAAATACCTGGCTTGTCCTGGCCTGGCTTGGGGGAGGGGGCCTCCCTGCTACTGCCCAGCTTCTAGTTCACTAGGTTTCTATCTTGAGGCTCCCTGAAGTCTTAGAGGCATTTCAAAGCATTAAGAGGAGCGGAAACTTGGTTTCAAATCTCAGCTTGGCCACTTATTCTCTGGGTGATCTCGAGGCCTCTGTTCTTCACTATGGAATGGGGAGGAAGTAAAGACAATATTTAAATGGCTCTTTAAAAGTGCCAAGGGAGGAAATAATTTGAATGTTATCCTAGTGTTAGCCAATTGGTTTGATCTAAGGAAATGTTGGAGAAGGAAAGGGAATGTGTAAAGGAAATAATCCTGACCCCACCTAGACGGTGGCTAGAGCTACTGACAGGCTGTACTCCTCACATTTTCAGATTTCTTACCCTGTCCACTTCTTGTGCTTTCGGTGTGTGTGCGTGTGTGTGTGTGTGTGTGTGTGGGCGCGCACACACACACACACACACACGAGAGAATATGGTTACTTAGTCTCTTTTTCCCCAAACTTGTTGCTGCTGTCTGGTGGAGATGGGGTATGGTTATGGTGATATACCCACTCCTCCAGGTAGTACCTGAGGCCAGGTTTAAGCTGAAGCAGATCAAGCCCCACAGCCCCCTACTCCGACTCCCCTATCCTTCCTCCATCATAGTCACTGAGTAGGTAAGTGAGGTGATTATAGATCCAGGGTTATACCCTTATGTGACCCTACAATGTAAGCTCTGGGAAGGCAGAGGCCATGCCTGACTTACGCAACAAGGGTATCCCTTTGCTCTACATGGAGCCTAGGTGCCCGACACTCAGCAAATATTTGCTGAATGAATGACCAAAAGAATAATTTAATGCAGCAAAGAAATCCTGTAAGCGTCCTGGAGCCGAAGCATCTGTAGTAAGGAGCTTTTACAGTGGGTCTTCCAGCGTAGTGGCTTTAGCCTTTGGCGGAATGGGATCTTCAAAGCAGCCCCCTGGAGCGGCCGGCGGTCCTGAGCCCCGCCCCCAGGTGGCTGGGCGGGCCCTCGGGCAGTCACGTGCGTGCGGCTGTCCAATCGGCTGGGCGGGGAGGGGCGGGGCTAGGCAGACTAGGAGGTCCCAGCAAACGAGCAGGCAGAAGTCCCAGACGATACCTTCCTGCAGTGGCATCATGTCGCGCAGCGGAGCGTGTCCAGAGGAGCGCCAGCAGGCGTCAGAGGCGGACGCCATGGCCACAGCCTTCCGGGCGAGCGGTAACTGCAGGGCGGACGGGGCTCGCTGGGACGCGGAGCCGAGCCCTCCCCTTCCTTAGGAAGTTGTCGTCCCTACCGGCAGGTCGGCGCGCCCACCCGGCCGGGTTCGCGAGGCGAAAGGACACGCTGGTGTTGGAGCTGCAGGCTTATTGGTGCTGGGAACGCCTAAGCCTGGGCTTTTAGTTTCTGAGCAGAATGGGGCCAAATGGGTGCCTCCGAGCTTGGGCCTGCTGGTGGGTGAGACCCAGGGGAGAATGGGGCGGAGATCTTTGTTGACTGATCTTGACTCTCTGCCCTCAGAGCATCAGCATATCCGCTACAACCCACTGCAAGATGAGTGGGTGCTGGTGTCAGCTCATCGCATGAAGCGGCCCTGGCAGGGGCAAGTAGAGCCCCTGCTTTTGAATACAGTACCTCGCCACGATCCCCACAACCCTCTGTGTCCGGGGGCCACACGAGCCAACGGAGAGGTAAGTCTTGAGACCCTACATCTACAGGCTGGTCTGCGGGGAGTGGACCTCCTTCTGGGTCATAACACACCGAGTCTTTTTGACTCCAGAGTAGGCTTCCCCCACCGCTTGTAACCTTGAAGCCCACTAGATGACTGCTGGTAGGGGCCAGCAAATGCTTCTAGTCCATCCTTGTCAGTAGGTGAATCCCCACTATGATGGCACCTTCCTTTTTGATAACGACTTCCCAGCTCTGCAACCTGATGCTCCTAGTCCAGGTAACCTGGCTCTTGCTGCTGTTGGGGGTAAGGGAGGCTGGACCTTATTGGGGGGTGTCTGTTGCAGAGAGTGATACCCCTTTATCTCAGGACCCAGTGATCATCCACTTTTCCAAGCAGAAGCTGCTCGAGGAGTTTGGTAACTATGAATTTCCATTCTTCCACCCTTCATCCTGGGGCCTGGACTGACCACTGGGGTTGGGCCCTGCCCCTAGCACAGCGAGCCCTATGTCTCTGTCATCTCTCCCTCCTTCCCCACCTAGTAAGGTCATGTGCTTCCACCCCTGGTCGGATGTGACACTGCCACTCATGTCAGTCCCCGAGATCCGCGCTGTCATTGATGCGTGGGCCTCAGTCACAGAGGAGCTGGGTGCCCAGTACCCTTGGGTGCAGGTCTGTGAGGTCGCCCCCACTCCGGGCAGGGAGGGGGTGGTGCAGTTAGTTCGGGGAAGTGGCATTTTTATTTCCACCAGGTGTAGTTGGGAGGGGTTGACTTAGTGTCTTTTTGGCTACAAAGCTCCCTACCCCTACCTCATAGATCTTTGAAAACAAAGGCGCCATGATGGGCTGTTCTAACCCCCACCCCCACTGCCAGGTAAGTGTGGTTAGGGCTTTAGTGGATTTCAAGCCAGCACTTGAAACTGGAACAGGGGCGGAAAACTGGAATAAGGGAAGCGACAGAGGAAGTATGCTAGTGATGTGGAGGCATGGGGATGAAGGATGTGCCTGCTCTTCTCCTGCCCCTTGACAGGTGTGGGCCAGCAGTTTCCTGCCAGATGTTGCCCAGCGTGAGGAGCGATCTCAGCGAGCCTATCAGAGTCAGCATGGAGAGCCCCTGCTGATGGAGTATGGCCACCAGGAGCTGCTCAGAAAGGTGGGAGAAAGCCAGGCCGTGTGTCCCCAAGAAGCCCCTGACCTCACCCCAAAAAGGAGAGTTGTGTGAAGGAGAGAGGTAGAAGGGATGTAGCAGAGAGAGTTGCTTGGAGGACAGCTATAAGGCAAAGGAAAGATGATGGTGGCTTAGACTAGGGTGGTAGTGGTGGAGGTGGTGAGGAGCCATCAATTTCTGGGTACATTTTTCCTTTTGCTTCTCTGGCCTATTTGCTGGCCCCCTCACACCCACCTTGATGACTTCATCTCCTTTGGTCTGCCTAGGAACGTCTGGTCCTAACCAGTGAGCACTGGTTAGTTCTGGTCCCCTTCTGGGCAGTATGGCCCTTCCAGACACTACTGCTGCCCCGTCGGCATGTGCGGAGGCTGCCTGAGCTGACCCCCACTGAGCGTGATGGTGAGTCTCCCAGCTGGTACCTTGGGGCCCGGCTTTGGATGGGGATGACTGCTCTGGTGAGATCTGAACCTGCTCGGTCTGATCCCCAGACTGAGAGTCAGGCTCTGATTCCAGATCTAGCCTCCATCATGAAGAAGCTCTTGACCAAGTATGACAACCTATTTGAGACATCCTTTCCCTACTCCATGGGCTGGCACGGTGAGGCTTTTTGAGCATTGCATATATATCCCCAACACCATTTCTGGGCTCCTGGGGCCCAGCCCAATGGACTGCAACTCCCTGCAGGCCTTGGAACACTTGCTGAGGGAAGTGTTCAGAGCAGGGATGCTGGGAATGTGGGTGGAGAAGGGAACTTGGTAACACCATGTCTCCCAGTGTGTTTTCCAATGCCTTGTCTCCTCTCTGGCAGGGAATGCTGGGAGATGTAGTTTTCGGTTACCTAGTGCAGTTTAAGGGTAAGAGCTAGGCCAAAGAACTAAGAAAGGACCCTCTCTAACCAGCTCTGCCTTCTTCCTGTCAGGAGCACCCACAGGATCAGAGGCCGGAGCCAACTGGGACCACTGGCAGCTACATGCTCACTATTACCCTCCCCTGCTGCGCTCTGCCACAGTCCGGAAATTCATGGTTGGCTATGAAATGCTTGCCCAGGCCCAGAGGGACCTCACCCCTGAGCAGGTCAGGACTTGGAGTCCCCTAGGTCCTTGGGTCCCCTTTTCTCTCCTGTTTCCTCAAGGGATTCCCAACAATCATGACCCTGAGAACATCGATAATCTGGACGTTCTGAGGGACTTGGGAGCTGCTCAACTCCTTCATCCTTCGGTCATTCCTGCAGTTCTTATCACCAGCCTCCCGGCCCCACACGCCCTCCCCCAGTGTCTCCTCAGAACTCCATACCACCATTCTGGGAAGCCCTTACCCTCCCTGATTATCCCCCTTTCCCCTTTCAGGCTGCAGAGAGACTAAGGGCACTGCCTGAAGTTCATTACTGCCTGGGGCAGAAGGACAGGGAGACAGCAGCCATCGCCTGACCACGCTGACCACAGGGCCTTCTGCCTGAGGGAACCAGGGCCTAGGGTTTGGGCAGATGTGGGATAAATAAAACTGCTTCTCAAACTTTAATCACATATCCTAACGCCAAAGGAGTGTGAACTCTGATCCTCGGGGGCCTGGGGTTGAAGGCTGAAGGCACAGCTCCGGCCACAACTTTTCTTTGCCTACAGATGTGCAAAAACTTAAGGATATAACCTCTCCCCACCACTGCTTGCCCCAAGTCTCTGAACAAAATTAATACTCAGTGTCATTTCTGGCCTATAGATACTCTTACTTCTAGAGTAACAAAGATACCAGTTCAAAAGTGTTTTAGAATCCTTTGTTCTTGTCTGTCACTGAGGCTTTGGGAGGGCCAGTGCCCCCTTTACAGCCATCCCTAGGGTGTCAGCTCACCCAAGCCTGGGACTGAGGGTTTGGTGGGGAGTGAGTGAGCAGGATCCTAGTCCCAGTGGTCAGTGGCCAGACACTGGGCTGCTGGCCAGAACCCTGGCTTTGTGAGCGGCTGCACCTTGGCTCTGCTCCAGCCCACAGGGGCTGAAGGGGCGGGTAGGGAACGTGTACGTGGCTTTGTGTCCTTGGCTTTTCCAGACTCCCACGTGCAGCATGCATGCACAGGCTCTACACACCTCTGTTGCCCCTGCGCCCCATTGTTGCACAGGGCTGAAGATGGCTTTGGGAGGGGAAGGGCTGCCAGAGTTAGAAGCCTCAGGGCCTAGAAGAAGGGCATGATTTTTGGAGTAACCCTGGGTCACCTCCCCTCTGGACCTGTTTCTTTGGCAAGGATGTGTAACTGTGTGAGAACAAGCCATGCAGCCCAGGAGACATGATGTCACCTAAGGTCTTCCAAACTTTCAGGTCAGGACGGGGGCTTGTGAGCAATGCATAGACAACCAGAGTGCTTTTCCTCTCCATTCTTCTCAAGGGAATTGAGTCTCTGGGAGGGGAAATCATGCAAGGCTGGAGAGTGATGACCTGACCCCCAGGAAAAGCTTGGCTACCTGCTTTCTAGTCCAGGATTCTTCCTTGAGACACTGTAGGGGACGGTTCAGGACTTGGAGTGTTGCCCTGGTCGGGAAGATGCTCAGACAAACATGGTGCACATTTCCCTTGAGCCCCCATTGACTGGGGAGTGGACAAGAAGTTTCTTAAGAGAATGAGACACACCCACCCCCCTGATCCTACACCTTTGATTTGGCTGCATTTTGGAATCATTTGGGGGAATTTTAAACAATACTGATTTAATTGGAATGTGGCTTGGCAGTTTTAAAACCACAATGTCCAGGGAAGTTTAAGAATCACTGCCTTACACCAGTCCGTCCACCTCCTTCCCTATCTTATCTGGAGTCAGGGGCACCTTCAGCTTCTCCAGTCACCTGCCCAGTGGCTCCTGAGCCACCGACCTTAAGGCTTTGTTTGCAGACAGCTGGGAGGGGGAGGGGCCCGAGGGCTTCTGGTCCTGCAGCCCCAGGAGGCGAGGCCTGCGGGCCAGGACCCAGGAATCCGGCTCCAGACTCGGTCCCCAGGCAGCCTCCTCGGTCCCGGACGGGACAGGAAGTGTCCGGC